CCAGTATTTCCCTTTCCTCTTGAAAGGAGATCAGTGGTATTAAGGTTTCCTTTATACGTTAGGGAATGCTGATGGTCCTTCATTTGTGGGGAACTTTCATTTTATGTCCCCCAAATGGGCAAGGGAAGAAAAATAATAATAAAAAAAAGAAACACAGGAGAAGCTAATATTGCTTTCATATACTGATTAAAACTACTATAGATAGTCCTCAGCTTAACAACCATTTGTTTAATGGCTATTTGAACAGCACTGGAAAAAAGTGATTTATGACTGTTTTTCACCCTTAGGACTGTTGAAGATAGATAGATAGATAGATAGATAGATAGATAGATAGATAGATAGATAGATAAGTAGATAGATAGATAGATAGATAGATAGATAGATAAAAATTAGATGATAAATTAGAGTAAGTAGATAGATAGATAGAAATTAGATGATAAATTAGAGTGAGTAGATAGATAGATAGATAGATAGATAGATAGAGAAATTAGATTATAAATTAGAGAGAGTGAGTAGATAGATAGATAGATAGATAGAGTAGATAGATAGATAGATAGAGTAGATAGATAGATAGATAGATAGATAGATAGATAGATAGATAGATAGATAAAAATTAGATGATAAATTAGAGTAAGTAGATAGATAGATAGATAGATAGATAGATAGATGATAGATAGATAGATAGATAGATAGATAGATAGATAGATAGATAGATAGATAGATAGATATTAGATGATGGATGGACGGACGGATGGACGGACAGACAGACAGACAGACAAAGTATTGGCTACCCAACCTACCATAAAGTAACTCTGGGCAGCTTACAGTCATAAATATATATCTACATTGAAATCTAAATAAATTAAAATCAAAGATTAAAAAATCTAAGGATACGTGGGAAGGGGGGCAGAATGGAGGGATGCTGCAACAGTCAGAAATATACGCCAGTTGCCAAGCATTCTGAATTTTGGTCACGTGACCCTGGGGAATGCTTCAACGGTCGTAAGTGTGTAAACCAGCCATAAGTCCCTTTTTTGGTGCCACTGTAATTTCGAACCATCACTAAGCGAACGATTGTAAGTCAAGGACTACCTGCCTACAATTCGGCACGAGTGTCCCAATAGCATTTTAGTAGATCAAAATGCCACCTGCATAGTATTGAGGGATGTGTTTGTTTGTTTGTTTGTGTGTGTGGATTCCAAAACCGTGGATCAGATTCTTCAGACGCTTCATACAATTTGGTTGCTGCAGCTGTGATCCCGCCATCTGTAGTTCTTGCCCCTCTTTTTGTTGCGCTTGCGGTTTTATCACCTTGCATCCTTTCCTGGGTTCTTTGATAGTTTTATCTTGTTTATAATGTGCCTTGAATTTATCTGCTGCCGGAGAACTGAGCCTTTGCTGAGCCGTCTAAAAGTCTAAAACAGAAAGTGTGGCAAATTTAGAACTGATAAATATAACAGAGGTGAGACTTGACTAATGGGAGACAATATGGCCAACAAGAGAGTTGGTTGAAGACCCTTGTGAAAGACTTTCTTGGCTGGATTGTTTTTAGGGATGAAAGTGTCTGCAGACACTTAGCAGAAGAACTTTACGTCTATTTTTTTCCCGTTTATTGCAATGGATTTAATATGGCATGGGCTTTTTTGAAAATTCATGCATTCTGCTTTAGTGTCCACTGCCGTCACCACCACTTGCTTTCTGTGTCAATGTCACACTTTCTCTCCATTGTCCATTTAAACCAGCAGCCCAGGAAATAGCCATGTGTGGGAGAGCCCGATAAACAGAAATAATTCTGGCCATTCCATTTTCATTGCTTGGTTTGACTGCTTGGTATGAAATGTATCTGATTCATCTGCTAATATTCAAATATTGGACTGTAGTGTTTTCCGGTGAGAGCCTGGTCTACTCCAAATATGGAACAAAGCATACTGCTTCCACTAATACATCTGCCTAACATAGGTTCGAATGTCAGAAAGGCATGGCTAGCTGATGAGAGCTAAATAGCTTGAAATAACTATACTAGATTCCCTTTAATTCTTTGTCGGTCAATTTAAATTTCTTGGACTGTAGCTTGAGCGGGAGAACTTGCATGCAGTTGTGTCCCCCATTTGGTTGATCCAAAAATCCAGCATGGTGGCCGTGTTGTTGCAATTGAAGTTCTACATCAGACATGTCAAACTCATGACGTCGCGCAACGTATTGGGATGGTTTTGGCATTGCCGGCAATAGGGTGGGTGCAGCTGAATAGAATAGAATAGAATAGAATAGAATAGAATAGAATAGAATATGGAAGGGACCTTGGAGGTCATCTAGTCCAGCCCCCTGCTCAAGCAAGAGAACCTATACCATTTCAGATAAGTGACTGTCTAGTCTCTTCTTAAAAATGTCCAGTGATGAAGCGCCCACGATTTCTGGTGGCAAGCTGTTCCACTGGTTAATTATCCTCACTGTTAGGAAGTTTCTCCTTAATTCCAGGTTGCTTCTCTCTTTGGTTAGTTTCCAACCATCGTTTCTCATCTTGCCTTCTGGTGCTTTGAAAAATAGGTTGACCCCCGTCCTCTTTGTGGCAGCCCCTCAGATACTGGAATAATTGCTATCATGTCACCCCTATTTCTTCTTTTCTTTAGAGTAGCCAAACCCAAGTCCTGCAGCTGTTCTTCATATGTTTTGGTCTCCAGGCCTTGGATCATCTTAGTTGCTCTTCTCTGAACTTTTTCCAAAGTCCCAACGTCTTTTTTGTAGTACGGTGACCAAATGAATGGCTGTAAGTCAAGGACTACCAGCATCCTTGTCCTTCTCACCCCTTCCCTTATGTTTCATCTGATTCTAAATCCAAACTGCGTAGTTTTTTTCATTCAGAGTGCAGCTGACGTCCTCCTCTCCAGTTGGGGTGGCTGCCCGGAGGAAAAGAAAATGAGAATATTCTTGCACGTCTAAAGAGAGCCAATCTTCTAATGTCAGGAAAACAGATCTGCTGAATGTCAGCTACACAGAAGGCTGCAGTGATGAAGCCTTCAGCTTGTCACCACCCAAAAACCTCAGAGTGAAATATCCCAAGGGCTGCTCGCCAAAACTGTCCAATTCCCATGGCTGGGAAACACAGTTGGCAGCTGCTGAAGAGAAAGTCCCATGGGCCATTTTTTTTAAGTCCCCCCCCCCACACACACACCATTCCATAAATGCATCAGCTATTTGCTCTCCAGGGAGCCCTCCCATTGAAAGAAAAGGATAGATAGATAGATAGATAGATAGATAGGTAGGTAGGTAGGTAGGTAGGTAGGTAGGTAGGTAGGTAGGTAGGTAGATAGATAGATAGATAGATAGATAGATAGATAGATAGATAGATAGATAGATAGATAAGGATAGGTAGGCAGGCAGGCAGGCAGAGAGTAGATAGATAGATAGATAGATAGATAGATAGATAGATAGATAGATAGATAGATAGATAGATAGATAGATAGATAGATAGGGATAGGTAGGCAGGCAGGCAGGCAGAGAGTAGATAGATAGATAGATAGATAGATAGATAGATAGATAGATAGATAGATAGGCAGAGAGTAGATAGATACAGACAGACAGACAGACAGACAGACAGACCTTTATTGTCATTTTTTACTGTGAGCACAATGGCACACATTAAAAAATGAAATTTAGTTGCCCGGTCTCAAAGCGTACACATACATAACACACATTTAAACATACTCTGTACAACATATGTATAGACCTACACCCTTATATATAAGTATCATATAACTACTAATTACTGCCTATCTTGAGTACATAACAGAAGGAGGAAGCTTTAGCGTTCATAAAGTTAATAAAGGAGATTTTTGTCTATCTGGGACTCATTTTTGGAGAATCAAACCCCCAATGTTTCTTGCAAGGAAGTGCCGGATCAGGATTGAGTCTTGGGGAAAGCTGAGCCAAATCACTTTGAAAGCTGGATTGCGAATTTCCGTTTACATCATGAAGAAATAGTGTAACAGTCTTGGGGAAGGCGAAAAGCTCTCCTGTATTTCTGGTGACTTCTCCATAAAGCAGCATGGCTGCAATATTCAATATTTTTGAAATGAAATAGAGAGAGCTTCCTCCCAGCTTATAGTAATATACTTCAGAGAAATGGATTTCCCTTTCTCCATTTCCCAAGTGGTCCTGAGTTTCTTTAACACCATTCTAACTTTCAACCATGTGTGCTTCTGCAGAAAAAAAAAATGTGTTTAAATTCATTTTTCCTTTATTTCAATGGTTGTTGTTGATTCGTGGCACAGATGTTTAGACTGGATTTGGCATTTTTGTTTACCTGTTGAGTTCTTTCTAAGGACCTGAGATGATTACTCTCCTCCTCCTCCTCCTGTTCCTCCTGTTCCTCCTCCATGCAAACTCCACTCCCTTCTAGCACTGATGATGTTACCTAGTTGGGTAATGAAACATCTGCAAAAAAACAGCAAGCTCAGAGAGCATCAAGGACCTCACAGTCTTTCTCCTCCTTCTCCTCCTCCTCCTCCTCCTCCTCTCTTCCTTTTTTCTTTCTTCTTTCTTCCCCCTCCTCTTCTCCTCCTCCTCCTCCTTCCTTCTCCCTTCTTTTTCATTTCTTCTTTCGTCCTTCCTCCTCTTCTTCTTTTCCCCTTCTTCTTCCTCCCCTTCCCCTCCCCCTCTTCCTCCATCGTTTCATTCCACGCCCCCCCCCCCCAAGCCTATGAGGAAAAGCCTTTGGGAGGCTCTTCTGCCAAAAGTAAGGCTTTTCTTTGAGAGAAGGAATTAAAACTGGGAGGAAACAGTCCCTTTGAGAGAGGAGAGAGCAAAAAAGGGGGAGGCTGGTTGTGTGCCTCTCTGCTCTCCGATTGAAGTCTTTCTCTCTGCTTATCTGGCTTCTGTTGGCAACTTCATTGATGCACAGGAGGGAGGGAGGGAAAGGAGCTGTCCGGGGGCGAAGGGGGACAAGGGAAGGAGGACGGGGAAATGAAAGGGGGGGGAGGAAGGAAGGAAGGAAGGAAGGAAGGAAGGAAGGAAGGAAGGAAGGAAGGAAGGAAGGATTGGCCCTCCAACTTGGGGAACTTTCCTGGGCCGTGCGGGGCTCCAGGGCCGTTGCCAGCCATTGTCTCTCCCCGGGAGGCTGCCAAAAGGCTCGGCTAATCCAAGCGAGGGGAGGGAAGCCCGAGCTGTCCTCCGGTGCCCCCCCCCTCCCAATTCGGTCCCTGTCCTGCCAGGGAACGGAGCGGCTCGGAGCTGGAGCGGCTCCTCCGAGCTGGAGGCCAGCGAGGGGTCAGCGGGAGTGGGAAGCAGCCCAGAGGCCGCAGAAAGCCGCCCAAATCCTCTGGCTTGCGCCGCTCCGGGGGGAAGAGGCGCCCTGCGGCCCGCAGGAGCTCCCAGAGGGTGGGCAGAGAAGCGGCCCCGCTGGCGGGGAGGGGGTTTCTCCGGATGGCCCGCTTCGCCGGGGTCTTCGGTGAGGATCCGGCCTCCTGGCGGGATAAATGCGGAGCTGGCCGCGGAGGGGGGAGGACCAGGGGCCAGGGCTCCGCGCCTCTGCCCGGACTCAGCATCGCCTGCCCTGGCTTTGCCTTCCCCCCGCCGCCCTCCTTCCCTAAGGTAAGCCGAGGGGCGCGCCAGCCAAGGCAGGAAGCGGGGCCTCGGGCCGTCGGGATCGGGCTGGCTGGTGGCGACGACCCGGCGAAAGGAGGAGGAGGAGGATTGTGGGGGGGTCTTTGGTGCTCTTGAAGCTTCGTGGTTTTCTTGCTGTCGTTTCCTGACCCAACTAGGTAACATCATCAGTGCTAGAAGGGGGTGGGGTTTGGAGGAGGAGGAGGAGGAGGAGGAAGAAGAAGAAGAAGAAGAAGAAGAAGAAGAAGAAGAAGAAGAAGAAGAAGAAGAAGAAGAAGAAGAAGAAGAAGAAGAAGAAGAAGAAGAAGAAGAAGAAGAAGAAGAAGAAGAAGAAGAAGAAGAAGAAGAAGAAGAAGAGAAGAAGAAAGGAGGAGAAGAGAAGAAAAAGAAGAGGAGGAGGAGGAAGAAGAAGAAGAAAGAAGAAGAAGAAGAGGAGGAGGAGGAGGAGGAGGAGGAGGAGGAAGAAGAAGAAGAAGAGGAGGAGAGGAGGAAGAAGAGGAGGAGGAGGAAGAAGAGGAAGAAGGAAGAAGAGGAGGAGAAGAAGAAAGAAGAGAAGAAGAAGAAGAAGAAGAAGAAGAGGAGGAGGAGGGGAGGAGGAGGAGGAGAGGAGAAGAAGAAGAAGAAGAAGAAGAAGAAGAAGAAGAGAAGAAGGAGGAAGAGGAGGAGGAAGAGGAGGAAGAAAGAAGAAGAGGAGGAGGAGGAGGAAGAAGAGGAGGAGGAGGAAGAAGAGGAAGAAGAAGAAGAGGAGGAGGAAGAAGAAGAAGAAGAAGAAGAAGAAGAAGAAGAAGAAGAAGAAGAAGAAGAAGAAGAAGAAGAAGAAGAAATTGCTGCCTTGGCACTCGGATTGGAAAGAGCCTCTCCTCCTCCCCCCGCGCCCCCCCCCGCGTCGAAAAGTTGCAAGGGAGGGAGGGAGGGAAGGAGGCCAGGCTCCCGCTCCGCCCCGCTTTGCCCCCCTCCCTCCCTCCCTCCCTCCCTCCGGGCTGGCGAGGGGGGCAGCCCGACTCCTGCTGCCGCGCTTCTGTTTGCCTTGGCAAATGGGACCGGAGGCTGGGTCGGGGCGCTCCGGGCTGCCGGAGCCGGGAAATGAAGGAGCCGAGCGGAGCAGAAGGAGCGGCGGGCAGGAGAGGCGGAAACAGCCCGCTTTGCATTCGGAGCCGGTAGGTTTACACGTCAGAAGCGACCGGGGGGGGGGGGCGGTTAGCAAGAGGCTCGTGCGGGGGAGGGGGCGTCAGAGAGACCGGGAAGGGGGGGGGGGCTTTCAAGAGGCCGCAGGAGCAGGAGCAGGAGGAGGAGGGGGGAAGGAGGGGGGGTCTTGCTGGCGAGCCGTGTTGTGGTCCGGGGGCTTTGCGGGAATCGGAGGGGGGAGGGGGAAGTCGGCGCCCGGTGCGGCGAGGAGGAAGAGGACGAGGAAGAGGAGGAAGCCGGCAAAGGGGCGGCGGAGCTGGGGAGCGGAGGAAGACAAGCCAGGGGAAGCGACGGGGGCTTCGGGGCTGGTGGCAGCCCCCGCAGAGGCGAGCCCGGAGGGACGGGGTGAGCCGGGCGCTTGGCTGGAGATTTGGCCCCTCCGGGGGGAGGGGTCTCCGAGGGACCGGTCGGCCTGGCCGCGCCGTGGGAAGGAAGCGAGAGGGTGAGCCTCTTCCCCCGGCTCGCTCCAGCTCGGGCAGCCCCCGGGCAGCTGCGCCGCTACAACTTCGGCTCCGGCGCTTTGCTCCAGCCAGCTCCCTGCGGGGATGGTTGCGAGGGTTGTTGACGTGCAGGATCGGGACTCCGGACGGCAGAGAGCCCGAGTTGGCGGGATTCTCCGCGTGCGATCCCCAGGAAGACCCCCATCCCCTAACTCGGCTCCCCCCCCCGGGGTCCTTTTCCTGGGCGGGGGTGGTGTCGACTTAGACCCCTGTCATTTCCTCCTCTCCCCCCTCCCTTATTCGTTTCTGGAAAATCTGCATGGATTTAAACCAGCAGGTGTGTTTGATGTCTTTGAGAAGGTGGGGGGGGGAGGAAATGTGTTAGGAGTTAGGTGAGTAGCTCTTTGGTTGGTCTGATGATCTCTGGGTGCCCCTTCCTGCAAAGCGACCCATTCATTTACAGAAGACAGCTACTCTTGTTTTTTTTTTTTTCTTTCTCTCTCTCTCTCTCTTTCTCCTTCGGGGTCCCCTCCCTCTTGGCAGCTGGAACATTTCATAGGGGCTCAACCAAAACAGAAGTGGCATCCCTCCCACCCACCCACCCCTCCAAGGAAGAGGGGGAGCCAAGAGGACGGAGCTGTTGCCCATAGGTCACTAGGGAAGAGAGGCCTAATTATCCACAGGCCCCAGAGATGGAGAGGGGCTAGCTCCCTACCTCAAAGCCTGGGGCATGAAAAGGGGCGTGAGCTGGCCATAAGTCCCTCCCTCCCCAACCGGGATGACACTTGATCCTCATTTGCGTACATGGGTCTCCTGACCCACTCACCCACCCTGCCAAGTGCTAAGTAAACTCTGAAAGATTCAATAGCTTCCCTTGCTGGTTAGTCAGAGTGGAATTGGGAGGTAGAAGGAGCTGCCTATCGACCTTTTCATCATTTACGGATAGATGGAATCCCTTCTCTTCCCTTTTACAGAATAGCTCTATAGGTCCCCATTGGCCCCACTGAGAAAGTTGGATGGGCGCCCCCCAATTCTTACAGGATAAATCCTGGGGGTTCCTAATGATTCGCCTCCTTCTCTTCAATTTCTTTCCAAGTGGTTTTCAACTTCGACCTTCCGTAGAAAGCAAAACTGAGCGGATATGTGACGCAGTGCTCTTTGGAGATTCTCGTTTTAGTAATTTGGGGGTAAGTTGCAATGTTGGGGGGTGGGTTGCGTTGGGGTGGGTTAGTCCCAGCAACAGCCTTCCCTTTAAAACTAGTGACTCTCTATTTCCCCTCCCTCCGGTTGTGTGCAATAGTAGATAACCCACTGCCTTTGCTGCTGTGTAATTTCTCTTGGACGTGCATGAAATGAAATGTCAGCCTTGTGCAGTTGTGGTGTGCTCCGACATTGTATCAGATTTATGGAGGGGTGGCGGTAGAGGCAGAACCTAATCCAGAACAGGGCATAAAGGGAGATATATTTATTTTTATTTCTGTGTACATCAGCAGTAAAAACAACTCGCTGGCTACAGTCCACGGATAAATGCTGGGCTTTGAAGATTAACATTTCTGGAGAGTAACTATTGCTGTTGCCAATTTGGGCTCCCCTTCAAATCTATCCTAAAAGTTGCTCAAGCTGATGTTACCATTTTCAAAGTAATCCTTGGGGCTCGTTATATAAATGTTATTTGGCACTCCTTTTAAAAAAACCAAAACAAAACAAACAACAAAAAAAAAACAGCCAAGCTAGGCTTTGCAAACTTTTTCCGAAGTTTTGTTAAAACTCTTTGCTGATCAAAACATAAGCCGGGCTATATTCAGAGCAGCTTATTGTTTGAGAACGTTGCTTTGAATTGCAATAATAATTCTGCAGGGTTTCTATACAGCTGCATGCAGGTTATCAAAGCGACCGATGATGCTCGCTGCTTTCTTGCTGAGGTGCGGGATTGTTTCCAAACCTATAGGATGATTTTAAAAAATAGCTTAGTTTTGAAAACATGTTCAAACAAGGTCTCCCTCAGATTTCGTTGTATGCACACAATAATGGAAGGGTGCCCCTTCATAGCTGTTGCATTACCTCTGTTTGGAAAGAGAACTAGTGTTTTTCGTTCTGTAGAAAATCCAGTAAATGATAACCATGTTTAATGTACTGAATAAAAGGTGTTTTATATTCTGCTGGCAGGCCCTGTGCAAACATTTATTCTGCCTCCAATAAATAGAAATTTACAGAAGTTGGCTATTCCCCCCCCCCCCTTCTGGTCTGTCATAAACTTTAACTACATCACTGAATGCCTAATGGAGGAAAGCGGAAGCGGTAGAAATTCACTTGGGAAAATTTCAAGGCGAGAAAGCTGAAAAGGAAAATCTGGGAGTTTGTTTTAAACACCTTCATGCGTTAATGGGCAACTTTGGTTCCCTAAGCAAGTTGTCGTTGTTGCCTTCCTCCCTAAGCTCATCTGTACACTTCATGTCAATGTCACATCACATCCTCAGCGTACTTTGTGTGATGGAAGTGTCTCTGCCAGACAAACAGGCAATGCTCTGGACTGTTTCCGTTCCAATAGCTACCTCCCAGAATGCATTTTCCTCTTCCTATTGGATCGTGAGAGGACCATGGGCTTGCAAAGCTGTACGTTCAGCTTGTCAGCCATTCAAGCTTTTTAGCTCTTATTTGGCTGCTGGTTCTCAGCTACCATTCCAATCACAGTTCTCCTGTGATTGCTGATGTCAAAGCTTAGCACAGAGGTCTCCTTTCGCAGGGGTCTTCAAACTTGGCCCTTTTATCACTTGTGGACTTCAACTCCCAGAATTCCTCAGCCAGCAGGCTCTGGGAGTTGAAGTCCACAAGTGATAAAAGGGCCAAGTTTGAAGACCCTCTGTCCTATCGTCTTTGAAAGCCTGATGTATTTCTTAATACTTTCACGTTTTTATGTAGAAAAGAGGCATCATATCATGATAAAAGGGGGCCAGAGTGTGCAGACAAAGTGGGGAGGGGGTCAGTAGTTCAATATTTGGGGAGGGGGGTATGGCTTTTATTATTAGTACTATTACTCTGATGCTTTACATGTACATTAAGAGCTTCTGCACTGGAGACAAATTCCATGTCTCTAATCACACTTGGCCAAATAAAGCCTGCTCTGTTCTGTTCTGTTTATGGTTTGTGGGTTTATTGTTGTGAGCCACACAACAGTGCAAATCTTTTAAATAAATTTTAAATAAATTCAATCTTTGCACTTTTTTTAAAAAAAAAAATGTCACGTTGTTGTCACAGTTCCTACAAGTCAGCCTGAGTGATCTTGATTGGACGCTTGATTTTGTTTGCAAGAGGATAGGCCTCAAGCCCAAATAAAAACACTTAGAACTGGGTGCAAAAGATACG